ATATATATATATATATATATATATATATATATATATATATATATATATATATATATATATATATAGCATTCGGGTGAGTTTAGTGGCAGCAACTGCTCATCTGGAGTTGAATTTGTAGCCTCTAAACATATTAGTTTATTTCCATTAATGGTATCTTTTAGTCCATTAGAAATATACATTATAGAATAATTCCATTTAATATCTTAAAATATTAAAAAGAACATACAGATTTTTTGTGGTTCAGATAATGCCAAATCCTGTCTTGCCGGATACATAGTGGCGCAGAGCTGCTGTTGGAGATACATAGATGTATCTTCCTGATCTGGTTGTGAGGGGAGAACAGCTTAGGCACACCCCGGGTTCGATGCTACTCTGCTCCGGGGACTGTCTGCTCTCTGCTGCTGCTCTCTGACCTGCCGTAGTGGGGGCTGAGAGTGGGGTCAGGGGGTCACCCTGATCCCACAGTGTTGATGGGGAGTGATATGAGCAGGTGACGATATGAGCAGGTGACGATATGAGCAGGTGACGATATGAGCAGGTGACTATATGAGCAGGTGACTATATGAGCAGGTGACTATATGAGCAGGTGACGATATGAGCAGGTGACTATATGAGCAGGTGACGATATGAGCAGATGACTATATGAGCAGGTGACTATATGAGCAGGTGACGATATGAGCAGGTGACTATATGAGCAGGTGACTATATGAGCAGGGAACAATATGAGCAGGTGACGATATGAGCAGGTGACGATATGAGCAGGTGACGATATGAGCAGGTGACGATATGAGCAGGTGACGATATGAGCAGGGAACAATATGAGCAGGTGACGATATGAGCAGGTGACGATATGAGCAGGGAACAATATGAGCAGGTGACGATATGAGCAGGTGACGATATGAGCAGGTGACGATATGAGCAGGTGACGATATGAGCAGGTGACGATATGAGCAGGTGACGATATGAGCAGGTGACGATATGAGCAGGGAACGATATGAGCAGTGAACGATATGAGCAGGTGACGATATGAGCAGGTGACGATATGAGCAGGGAACGATATGAGCAGGGAACAATATGAGCAGGTGACGATATGAGCAGGTGACGATATGAGCAGGGAACAATATGAGCAGGTGACGATATGAGCAGGGAACGATATGAGCAGTGAACGATATGAGCAGGTGACGATATGAGCAGGTGACGATATGAGCAGGTGACGATATGAGCAGGTGACGATATGAGCAGGGAACGATATGAGCAGGTGACGATATGAGCAGGGAACGATATGAGCAGGAACAATATGAGCAGGGAACAATATGAGCAGGGAACAATATGAGCAGGGAACAATATGAGCAGGTGACGATATGAGCAGGTGACGATATGAGCAGGGAACGATATGAGCAGGTGACGATATGAGCAGGGAACGATATGAGCAGGTGACGATATGAGCAGGGAACGATATGAGCAGGGAACAATATGAGCAGGGAACAATATGAGCAGGTGACGATATGAGCAGGTGACGATATGAGCAGGTGACGATATGAGCAGTGACGATATGAGCAGGGAACAATATGAGCAGGTGACGATATGAGCAGGGAACGATATGAGCAGAGAACGATATGAGCAGGTGACGATATGAGCAGTGACGATATGAGCAGTGAACGATATGAGCAGGTGACGATATGAGCAGGGAACAATATGAGCAGGGAACGATATGAGCAGGTAACGATATGAGCAGGTGAGGATATGAGCAGGTGACGATATGAGCAGGTGACGATATGAGCAGGTGACGATATGAGCAGGGAACAATATGAGCAGGGAACGATATGAGCAGGTAACGATATGAGCAGGTGAGGATATGAGCAGGTGACGATATGAGCAGGTGACGATATGAGCAGGGAACAATATGAGCAGGGAACAATATGAGCAAGGAACAATATGAGCAGGTGACGATATGAGCAGGTGACGATATGAGCAGGGAACGATATGAGCAGGTAACGATATGAGCAGGTGACGATATGAGCAGTGAACGATATGAGCAGGTGACGATATGAGCAGGGAACGATATGAGCAGGTAACGATATGAGCAGGTGACGATATGAGCAGTGAACGATATGAGCAGGTGACGATATGAGCAGGGAACAATATGAGCAGGGAACGATATGAGCAGGTAACGATATGAGCAGGTGAGGATATGAGCAGGTGACGATATGAGCAGGAGACGATATGAGCAGGTGACGATATGAGCAGGTGACGATATGAGCAGGTGACGATATGAGCAGGTGACGATATGAGCAGGTGATGATATGAGCAGGGAACGATATGAGCAGGTGACGATATGAGCAGGTGACGATATGAGCAGGTGACGATATGAGCAGGTGACGATATGAGTAGGTGACGATATGAGCAGGGAACGATATGAGCAGTGAACGATATGAGCAGGGAACGATATGAGCAGGGAACGATATGAGCAGGTGACGATATGAGCAGGTGAGGATATGAGCAGGTGACGATATGAGCTGTGAACGATATGAGCAGGGAACGATATGAGCAGGTGACGATATGAGTAGTGAACAATATGAGCAGGTGACGATATGAGCAGGTGACGATATGAGCAGTGACGATATGAGCAGGTGACGATATGAGCAGGTGACGATATGAGCAGGGAACAATATGAGCAGGTGACGATATGAGCAGGTGACGATATGAGCAGGTAACGATATGAGCAGGTGACGATATGAGCAGGGAACGATATGAGCAGGTGACGATATGAGCAGGTGACGATATGAGCAGGTGACGATATGAGCAGGTGACGATATGAGCAGGTGACTATATGAGCAGGTGACTATATGAGCAGGTGACTATATGAGCAGGTGACGATATGAGCAGGTGACGATATGAGCAGGGAACAATATGAGCAGGTGACGATATGAGCAGGTGACGATATGAGCAGGTGACTATATGAGCAGGTGACTATATGAGCAGGTGACTATATGAGCAGGTGACGATATGAGCAGGTGACGATATGAGCAGATGACGATATGAGCAGGGAACGATATGAGCAGGTGACGATATGAGCAGGTGACGATATGAGCAGGTGACGATATGAGGAGAGAGAATGTCCTGGTCATTAATCACTACATTCCTCGGAGCAGAGTTTGACGAGCGGCAGTTAAAGTGACTGGCTGTTGAGACTAATATACAGCTGCTCGATGGCTGGGACACAGCTGCGACACATACAACAGCTGCTTGATGGTTGGGACATATCTGGGACACAGCTGGGACACATACAACAGCTGCTTGATGGTTGGGACACATCTGGGACACATACAACAGCTGCTTGATGGTTGGGACACATCTGGGACACATACAACAGCTGCTTGATGGTTGGGACACATCTGGGACACATACAACAGCTGCTTGATGGTTGGGACACATCTGGGACACATACAACAGCTGCTTGATGGTTGGGACACATCTGGGACACATACAACAGCTGCTTGATGGCTGGGACACAGCTGGGACACAGCTGCGACACATACAACAGCTGCTTGATGGTTGGGACACATCTGGGACACAGCTGGGACACATACAACAGCTGCTTGATGGTTGGGACACATCTGGGACACATACAACAGCTGCTTGATGGTTGGGACACATCTGGGACACATACAACAGCTGCTTGATGGTTGGGACACATCTGGGACATATACAGTAGCTGCTTGAGGGCTGAGACACAGGTGGGACACATTCAGCAGCTGCTTGATGGTTGGGACACATCTGCGAAACATACAACAGCTGCTTGATGGTTGGGACACATCTGGGACACATACAGCAGCTGCTTGAGGGCTGAGACACAGCTGGGACACATACAGCAGCTGCTTGAGGGCTGAGACACAGCTGGGACACATACAGCAGCTGCTTGAGGGCTGAGACACAGCTGGGACACATACAGCAGCTGCTTGAGGGCTGAGACACAGCTGGGACACATACAGCTGCTGCTTGATGGCTACAACACAGGTGTACAACAAGGACCAGCAGCTGCCTGATGGCTACAACACAGGTGTACAACAAGGGCCAACAGCTGCCTGATGGCTACAACACAGGTGTACAACAAGGCCCAGCAGCTGCCTGATGGCTACAACACAGTTGTGCAACAAGGGCCAACAGCTGCCTGATGGCTACAACACAGGTGTACAACAAGGACCAACAGCTGCCTGATGGCTACAACACAGGTGTTCAACAAGGACCAACAGCTGCCTGATGGCTACAACACAGGTGTACAACAAGGTCCAACAGCTGCCTGATGGCTACAACACAGGTGTACAACAAGGTCCAACAGCTGCCTGATGGCTACAACACAGGTGTAGGACCAACAGCTGCCTGATGGCTACAACACAGGTATTCAACAAGGACCAACAGCTGCCTGATGGCTACAACACAGGTGTACAACAAGGACCAACAGCTGCCTGATGGCTACAACACAGGTGTGCAACAAGGACCAACAGCTGCCTAATGGCTACAACACAGGTGTAGGACCAACAGCTGCTTGATGACTACAACACAGGTGTACAACAAGGACCAACAGCTGCCTGATGGCTACAACACAGGTGTTCAACAAGGACCAACAGCTGCCTGATGGCTACAACACAGGTGTGCAACAAGGACCAACAGCTGCCTAATGGCTACAACACAGGTGTAGGACCAACAGCTGCTTGATGACTACAACACAGGTGTACAACAAGGACCAACAGCTGCCTGATGGCTACAACACAGGTGTTCAACAAGGACCAACAGCTGCCTGATGGCTACAACACAGGTGTGCAACATGGCCCAGCAGCTGCCTGATGGCTACAACACAGCTGGGACACATACAGCTGCTGCCTGATGGCTACAACACAGCTGGGACACATACAGCTGCTGCCTGATGGCTACAACACAGCTGGGACACATACAGCTGCTGCCTGATGGCTACAACATAGGTGTTCAACAAGGTTCAACAGCTGGTTGATGGCTACAACACAGCTGGGACACATACAACTGCTGCCTGATGGCTACAACACAGGTGTTCAACAAGGTCCAACAGCTGCCTGATGGCTACAACACAGCTGGGACACATACAGCTGCTGCCTGATGGCTACAACACAGCTGGGACACATACAGCTGCTGCCTGATGGCTACAACACAGCTGGGACACATACAGCTGCTGCCTGATGGCTACAACACAGCTGGGACACATACAGCTGCTGCCTAATGGCTACAACACAGCTGGGACACATACAGCTGCTGCCTGATGGCTACAACACAGCTGGGACACATACAGCTGCTGCCTGATGGCTACAACACAGCTGGGACACATACAGCTGCTGCCTGATGGCTACAACACAGGTGTACAACAAGGACCAACAGCTGCCTGATGGCTACAACACAGGTGTACAACAAGGACCAACAGCTGCCTGATGGCTACAACACAGGTGTACAACAAGGACCAACAGCTGCCTGATGGCTACAACACAGGTGTACAACAAGGACCAACAGCTGCCTGATGGCTACAACACAGGTGTACAACAAGGACCAACAGCTGCCTGATGGCTACAACACAGGTGTTCAACAAGGACCAACAGCTGCCTGATGGCTACAACATAGGTGTGCAACATGGCCCAGCAGCTGCCTGATGGCTACAACACAGCTGGGACACATACAGCTGCTGCCTGATGGCTACAACACAGCTGGGACACATACAGCTGCTGCCTGATGGCTACAACATAGGTGTTCAACAAGGTTCAACAGCTGGCTGATGGCTACAACACAGCTGGGACACATACAGCTGCTGCCTGATGGCTACAACACAGGTGTTCAACAAGGTCCAACAGCTGCCTGATGGCTACAACACAGCTGGGACACATACAGCTGCTGCCTGATGGCTACAACACAGCTGGGACACATACAGCTGCTGCCTGATGGCTACAACACAGCTGGGACACATACAGCTGCTGCCTGATGGCTACAACACAGCTGGGACACATACAGCTGCTGCCTGATGGCTACAACACAGCTGGGACACATACAGCTGCTGCCTGATGGCTACAACACAGGTGTACAACAAGGACCAACAGCTGCCTGATTGCTACAACACAGGTGTACAACAAGGACCAACAGCTGCCTGATGGCTACAACACAGGTGTACAACAAGGACCAACAGCTGCCTGATGGCTACAACACAGGTGTACAACAAGGACCAGCAGCTGCCTCATGGCTACAACACAGGTGTACAACAAGGACCAACAGCTGGCTGATGGCTACAACACAGGTGTACAACAAGGACCAACAGCTGGCTGATGGCTACAACACAGGTGTACAACAAGGACCAACAGCTGGCTGATGGCTACAACACAGGTGTACAACAAGGACCAACAGCTGCCTGATGGCTACAACACAGGTGTTCAACAAGGACCAACAGCTGCCTGATGGCTACAACACAGGTGTACAACAAGGACCAACAGCTGCCTGATGGCTACAACACAGGTGTACAACAAGGACCAACAGCTGCCTGATGGCTACAACACAGGTGTACAACAAGGACCAGCAGCTGCCTGATGGCTACAACACAGGTGTACAACAAGGACCAACAGCTGCCTGATGGCTACAACACAGGTGTACAACAAGGACCAACAGCTGCCTGATGGCTACAACACAGGTGTACAACAAGGACCAACAGCTGCCTCATGGCTACAACACAGGTGTACAACAAGGACCAACAGCTGCCTGATGGCTACAACACAGGTGTACAACAAGGACCAACAGCTGCCTCATGGCTACAACACAGGTGTACAACAAGGACCAACAGCTGCCTGATGGCTACAACACAGGTGTACAACAAGGACCAACAGCTGCCTCATGGCTACAACACAGGTGTACAACAAGGACCAACAGCTGCCTCATGGCTACAACACAGGTGTACAACAAGGACCAACAGCTGGCTGATGGCTACAACACAGGTGTACAACAAGGACCAACAGCTGGCTGATGGCTACAACACAGGTGCACAACAAGGACCAACAGCTGCCTGATGGCTACAACACAGGTGTACAACAAGGACCAACAGCTGCCTGATGGCTACAACACAGGTGTACAAGGGCCAACAATCAGTGTGTCACCGGGCTGTCCTCCGACACCACCTACAGCGAGTCTCAAACTTTGCTATACCCTTTGTTTACAGTTTTCTATTGCAGGAAATGTTTGCAATATTGGGTATAGTGCTGCCACCTGTGCGTGTTATAGCAGCATTATGTCACATTAAGTTGGAAATAAAGTAACGCGGACAGTAGACATTCGAGAAAATGGCTAAAATTTTTGTAAATTCCTTAAAAAAAACGTTTTGCTCCAGCTTGAAACAATTAAGTAACCTCAGCTGTCGAGAAAGTATTTGCCAGTTTTGTAAGCAGTTAAAGTAATTAAGGAATTACTAACTTTTCCGCTAAAGAACGAGTCTGGTGATATTTTTGCGACTTCAGCTTTCCTTGCGGAAAGTTAAAATGATACTGTATTGTTTACACTTAAAGAACTTGAAGACAAAAGACTGCACCAACCTGAGACCCGCAATAACACACACTCTGGCCAGTGTGTTCACCTGCGTGCCTTACTCGGGCCCCCTGGCAGTCACCATAGGCGCCACCATGCACCTGTAGCGACCATTATCACACAAGGGGGACCATTAAGCAGCTGTATATTAGTCTGACAGCCAGTTAAGGGGCGTCCTGGTAATGCCAGAGTAGTGTGGGGTGGAGAGATGGGTGTGTGGGTGCGTTCAGTGCTCCTACAACCCAAGCTGCTCACTATAGTACACAACATTCATGTTTAGTGTAACTCCAGTCAGCGAATGTTATTATGTCAGGTGTAGTAATCTCTCAGATTTGAGTTAGTGTTTTGGTTCCCATACATATTAGGCAGGATTGTTAGCTGTGTATAATTTTTTCTAAAATGCAAATCATGTGACTGGATCTGCTGTATAATTTTTCTGTAACAAGATAGTGAATGAATATATATATATATATATATATATATATATATATATATATATATATATATATATATATATATATGTATATATATATATATGTGACCATTATTGAAAGTAGACTCATTTTAATTCACTCTAAAGTACCTTTATGATCAGGTTTGCTCAATATGTCGATGTACAGGGCCACTCAATGGTACAAAATTTTAATATAAACACACACACACACACACACACACACACACACACACACACACACACACACACACACACACACACACACACACACACACACACACATCACGGGAAGAACAACATTAGCACATTCCTCCCATGTTTACAGCACTAACAACGTTCTGGAGAAAACACTATATTAGTTCTCAGTTTAAAGTTATAGTCATGAGCCATCACTTGTCAGACTACGACACAGTCCCTAACTACTGGCCACTGGCTTTAAGGACATATACCTTCTCCTTAATGATAATTGTCTAATTATTACCCACCGAGATTCTAAACTTAGAGATAACATGACCGCCCTAGCTAAACCACTATGTCTTGTGGCTTCTTAACTCTTGAAGACAACGACCCTTTCATTACAAAAGTTCCTCTCCCTGTTTTGTTGAAAGACATCGACTGTTTGTTGTTTAAGACTGTGATCCTTGTTTAAACTGTTGGGGAACACGGCTTATAAACTCTAGGACACGGCCTCATATCATACTATTAAAGATGCCTACCCTTAAACTAAGGGGACACGGGGCCCTTTACCTTATAACTATGGGGGAAACATCGGCCCTTAAATTACGGGACATGACCCTTAACTAACAACATTAGGGGACACCGGCTCTTCACTTTATTAAAATTATTGGGGACATAATAAGCCTATACCTTGTACTGTTGTGGACGCGGCCCCTCACCATGTCTGTGTTTCTCATGTGCCCTCCACCCACGTTTTTCCCACCATTCGTTTGGACTGGACCTTCGGACGATGTACAACAGCTGGTAAGCCGAGATTCTTCTGCCATCTTGCGATTAACTCAGAACTTTATTGTGCGGCCTTCAGGTGGAAGCTTTCCCAGTGCTCTGTGATCCGTCTTCTATACCGGCTTAACGGTCAAGCAAATTAACGGTTCTAACGGTCACTTATAATTTTAAACGCTAATTCTATTTACATTCAGGCGTCATAATATATATATATATATATATAAATTACTGCTATTTGAAAGCTGATTTTTGTTCTAATTTCTAAACAAATTAAAAAATATATATATTTTTAAATCAATTACACATTGACTTTCATTTAAATCCAGATCTAAGTATCTTGTAATTTTCATATATTTAAATTGTTTTAAGTGAAACACGAATCTGAAGATTAACAAGAAGACAATCCTCAACAAATGTTGATTCTGTGATGTATTAATTGTCATATTTTGTTCTATAATATATATTTTCTGTCATTTGTAATTCATAGACATACAGAATTCATTTTAAAGACTTTAGAGTTGGCATACTATGTATACTTTACAACAGTGATCTTTCATTTCTGCTAAACTGTTTAGATTGACTTCATATAAATTAATTATGCACAGTAAATAATAATTGTGTTAACCTAATATTGCTCATTTTCTTGTCTGGTAACTTTATCAATATTCTGGAACACTTGCAACAGTTGGAAAACTTCCATTCAAGACTGCATTTAGCTCGTTAGTTAGTTAATTCATTAATATATATATATATATATATATATATATATATATATATATATATATTACTGCTTAGCCTGTGGTTAATTATGTGCGCTGTGAAAACAGTCACTTATGTATCGATCAAGCAGTTCACTGTTTGATCTTTGTCAGTAGAGGCCAGCATGAGACACAAGTGTGACTGGTGGTGGTGGTGGTGGTGGTGGCCTGGTGAGACACAAGTGTGACTGGTGGTGGTGGTGGCCTGGTGAGACACAAGTGTGACTGGTGGTGGTGGTGGTGGTGGTGGCCTGGTGAGACACAAGTGTGACTGGTGGTGGTGGTGGTGGTGGTGGCCTGGTGAGACACAAGTGTGACTGGTGGTGGTGGTAGTGGTGGTGGTCAGACACAAGTGTGACTGGTGGTGGTAGTGGTGGTGGTCAGACACAAGTGTGACTGGTGGTGGTGGTGGTGGCCTGGTGAGACACAAGTGTGACTGGTGGTGGTGGCCTGGTGAGACACAAGTGAGACTGGTGGTGGTGGTGGTGGTGGTAGCCTGGTGAGACACAAGTGTGACTGGTGGTGGTGGTGGTGGCCTGGTGAGACACAAGTGTGACTGGTGGTGGTGGTGGTGGCCTGGTGAGACACAAGTGTGACTGGTGGTGGTGGTGGTGGCCTGGTGAGACACAAGTGTGACTGGTGGTGGTGGTGGTGGTGGCCTGGTGAGACACAAGTGTGACTGGTGGTGGTGGTGGTGGCCTGGTGAGACACAAGTGTGACTGGTGGTGGTGGTGGTGGTGGTGGCCTGGTGAGACACAAGTGTGACTGGTGGTGGTGGTGGTGGCCTGGTGAGACACAAGTGTGACTGGTGGTGGTGGTGGTGGTCTGGTGAGACACAAGTGTGACTGGTGGTGGTGGTGGTGGTGGTGGCCTGGTGAGACACAAGTGTGACTGGTGGTGGTGGTGGTGGCCTGGTGAGACACAAGTGTGACTGGTGGTGGTGGTGGTGGCCTGGTGAGACACAAGTGTGACTGGTGGTGGTGGTGGTGGCCTGGTGAGACACAAGTGTGACTGGTGGTGGTGGTGGTGGCCTGGTGAGACACAAGTGTGACTGGTGGTGGTGGTGGTGGCCTGGTGAGACACAAGTGTGACTGGTGGTGGTGGTGGTGGTGGTGGTGGTGGCCTGGTGAGACACAAGTGTGACTGGTGGCGGTGGCTTGGTGAGACACAAGTGTGACTGGTGGTGGTGGTGGTGGTGGTGGTGGCCTGGTGAGACACAAGTGTGACTGGTGGTGGTGGTGGTGGTCTGGTGAGACACAAGTGTGACTGGTGGTGGTGGTGGCCTGGTGAGACACAAGTGTGACTGGTGGTGGTGGTGGTGGTGGTGTGGTGAGACACAAGTGTGACTGGTGGTGGTGGTGGCCTGGTGAGACACAAGTGTGACTGGTGGTGGTGGTGGTGGTGAGACACAAGTGTGACTGGTGGTGGTGGTGGTGAGACACAAGTGTGACTGGTGGTGGTGGTGGTGGTGAGACACAAGTGTGACTGGTGGTGGTGGTGGTGGCCTGGTGAGACACAAGTGTGACTGGTGGTGGTGGTGGTGGCCTGGTGAGACACAAGTGTGACTGGTGGTGGTGGTGTGGTGAGACACAAGTGTGACTGGTGGTGGTGGTGGTGGTGGTGGTGGTCTGGTGAGACACAAGTGTGACTGGTGGTGGTGGTGGTGGTAGTGGTGGTGGTGAGACACAAGTGTGACTGGTGGTGGTGGTGGCCTGGTGAGACACAAGTGTGACTGGTGGTGGTGGTGGTGGTGGCCTGGTGAGACACAAGTGTGACTGGTGGTGGTGGTGGCCTGGTGAGACACAAGTGTGACTGGTGGTGGTGGTGGTGGTGAGACACAAGTGTGACGGGTGGTGGTGGTGGTGGCCTGGTGAGACACAAGTGTGACTGGTGGTGGTGGTGGTGGTGAGGGTGGTGGTGGTGTGGTGAGACACAAGTGTGACTGGTGATGGTGGTGGTGGTGAGGGTGGTGGTGGTGTGGTGAGACACAAGTGTGACTGGTGGTGGTGGCCTGGTGAGACACAAGTGTGACTGGTGGTGGTGGTGGTGGCCTGGTGAGACACAAGTGTGACTGGTGGTGGTGGTAGTGGCCTGGTGAGACACAAGTGTGACTGGTGGTGGTGGTGGTGGCCTGGTGAGACACAAGTGTGACTGGTGGTGGTGGCCTGGTGAGACACAAGTGTGACTGGTGGTGGTGGTGGTGAGACACAAGTGTGACTGGTGGTGGTGGCCTGGTGAGACACAAGTGTAACTGGTGGTGGTGGTGGTGGTGAGGGTGGTGGTGGTGTGGTGAGACACAAGTGTGACTGGTGGTGGTGGTGGTGGTGAGGGTGGTGGTGGTGTGGTGAGACACAAGTGTGACTGGTGGTGGTGGCCTGGTGAGACACAAGTGTGACTGGTGGTGGTGGCCTGGTGAGACACAAGTGTGACTGGTGGTGGTGGTGGCCTGGTGAGACACAAGTGTGACTGGTGGTGGTGGTGGTGGTGGCCTGGTGAGACACAAGTGTGACTGGTGGTGGTGGCCTGGTGAGACACAAGTGTGACTGGTGGTGGTGGTGGTGGTGGTGGCCTGGTGAGACACAAGTGTGACTGGTGGTGGTGGTGGTGGTGGCCTGGTGAGACACATATGTGACTGGTGGTGGTGGTGGTGGTGGCCTGGTGAGACACAAGTGTGACTGGTAGTGGTGGTGGTGGTGGTGAGACACAAGTGTGACTGGTGGTGGTGGTGGTGGCCTGGTGAGACACAAGTGTGACTGGTGGTGGTGGTGGTGGCCTGGTGAGACACAAGTGTGACTGGTGGTGGTGGTGGTGGCCTGGTGAGACACAAGTGTGACTGGTGGTGGTGGTGGTGGTGGCCTGGTGAGACACAAGTGTGACTGGTGGTGGTGGTGGTGGTGGCCTGGTGAGACACAAGTGTGACTGGTGGTGGTGGCCTGGTGAGACACAAGTGTGACTGGTAGTGGTGGTGGCCTGGTGAGACACAAGTGTGACTGGTGGTGGTGGTGGTGGCCTGGTGAGACACAAGTGTGACTGGTGGTGGTGGTGGCCTGGTGAGACACAAGTGTGACTGGTGGTGGTGGTGGTGGTGGCCTGGTGAGACACAAGTGTGACTGATCGTGGCCTGGTGAGACACAAATGCCCCCACACAGAGGTCACTTCACCTACCCTCAACCAAACCAGTGATCCATGTGACTGTTGGTGCTGGGCACAAGTTATCACAGGTATGGATGGCTGCGACCCGTCACCCCACGCTCACTACACCCCTAATTACCCCAAATTTTAAATATTTAACATAAAGCAAGACATATATTAACTGTGTTTTTTTAACTATGATAATTATGTTTCAGATATGTAATAATTGTTTTTCAACTCTCCATACTGAGCCTCACATGTCTCATTTGCGTAGGAATATGATCAATGATATGTAGAAGAGTATGAGTGCTCTGTGTTGTGTAGAGATAAGGTGTGTAAGGTGTGGCTCAGGTGTCGTCACACGTGTATTGATGTCAACAACTAGAACTCACCTATTGCAAATGTTAAACGTCATCACAGCTGTTGATGACTTATGTGATGGCACAATGTATGATGACAGGGGCTACGAGAATCATCACTACCTCACCTTGCCAGCCACACTCATTAAACTTATTACCGTCTATAAATATGAAAATGTTTCATTGTAAAGTTGTTTAACTACTTCCAATCTGCTGTCTTGGCATACCAGTAACCGTAGCCTCGGCTGATCTTCCATCTGAAGTCGTACAGTAATTAACTATAAGGTATCATATAAAAACTGAAGTTAAAATAATTCCAACTCCCAATGCCTCTCGCCAAATTTATTTAGTGAATCCCTTGTGATAAACTGGAGCAAAGAGAGTGACGGTGGGTGTTGGAGGAGTGGGCTGACTGACTGAGGGAGGCTCTTGTTTACATGTTATGGCGGTCTTTGCAGGAGAAGACAGAACCCTACTTCCTCTTCATCTTCTGCGTGGAGGCCTCTCTCAAGATCCTCGCCCTCGGCTTCGTCCTCCACCCACGCTCCTACTTGAGGAACATCTGGAACATCATGGACTTCGTGGTTGTGGTGACGGGGTAGGTGCTCCTTCAGATGTTTCTTGGCGGGAGGTTTTTGTGGGTAGGGGTGATAGGGGGTTTGGAAGAGGACAGGGAAATACAGGGAAATACAGTGTCTAGGTAGACAGGTTAGGGGAGAATCTTGTAGCTTGTGGAGAGTTACAATCACACATGGAGATGTGTGATTGTTGGATGGGTGGTGTGGAGGCTGTAACCTCATGTAGAGCTGTTGTTGTTGTTTTAGATTTAACTAAGAACGAAATGTCCATGTAGCACGGGCTATGGTGAGCCCGTAATGCTGGAGTGGGGGTATCATAGGGACGAGTCCTCTTGCTCTCTCCAGGGGATCATTGTATGTGTCCCTGGCGTAGGTGTTGTTCTCTGTGGAGCAGAAATGTTAGTTTTCTAGTACAAAGTAAAATACTGGAAAACAATGGGGTGAACAATAAATACATCAATATAATGTAGTCCATCTTTCTGCTATATCACATGTGACGAACATTTATTATATTGTATATTTAAAATATGGACAGTTTAAACAAAATTATTTGTCTAATGTTTATCTGATTTGCAAAAATTGTGTAATTAGAAAATCCAGATTAAAATAAAGACTAACTTAAACCAGATCCAACAAACGCCTCGTATTATTAGGATATAAGGGGTAATAAGCAACAGAAGCAAGGGTTAAGGGGTAATAAGCAACAGAAGCAAGGGTTAAGGGGTAATAAGCAACAGAAGCAAGGGTTAAGGGGTTAATAAGCAACAGAAGAAGGGTTAAGGGGTAATAAGCAACAGAAGCAAGGGTTAAGGGGTAATAAGCAACAGAAGCAAGGGTTAAGGGGTTAATAAGCAACAGAAGAAGGGTTAAGGGGTAATAAGCAACAGAAGCAAGGGTTAAGGGGTAATAAGCAACAGAAGCAAGGGTTAAGGGGTTAATAAGCAACAGAAGCAAGGGTTAAGGGGTAATAAGCAACAGAAGCAAGGGTTAAGGGGTTAATAAGCAACAGAAGAAGGGTTAAGGGGTAATAAGCAACAGAAGCAAAGGTTAAGGGGTAATAAGCAACAGAAGCAAGGGTTAAGGGGTAATAAGCAACAGAAGCAAGGGTTAAGGGGTAATAGGAAACGGGGAATAATACACAATGGAAGGCGCAGATTGGGTAATGCTTGACACACAATATGTAATAGATGCTTTTGTTTACTGAGATCTGGGTCATTAGCAAATGCTTAAAGAGCTCCTTGTGAAAGTGGATGTTATAGACAACAGCTTAAAGCTGGTGGAGGTTGACCTGTCAAACTTTCATGTTGATTTCTTGTAGGTAATTTCAGGTGTTATTTCAGCAAGTTGAGAGTGTAGTCAATACTTTGCTGATGATGAGTTTTGGGCAATTTTTAATATTATTATTCTATATGTAGGAATATTTACCCAAATACTAAGGTAATATCTTCTCGTAGTATAATATTTCTTGCTGTTAAATTCAATATTAATTTTGGGATTATTTATGTCAGTAAAGTTGCTATGGTTGCTGTTTCTTGGGTTATATTTGTCTGGACATAGTTATTGCTGGATTAGATCTTAGTGTTAGATTCAGTAATCTATTATTATGTGTCTCGGGGTTGTTGGTATATGTATAAACATATAGTTTATTTTCAGAGTGTAGATGTGTAATGACATGTGTGTAATGATGTTTTTGTTATGACAGAGTCGTCAGCTGGTTGATGTGTCGCTCTGTCTGCACCCTAACTCTCTTTCTTTCAGCATATTCCACAGATGGCGACACCTCCGTCCTCACCCTTCAACTCTATATTTGCATATATATATATATATATATATATATATATATATATATATATATATATATATATATATATATATATATATATATATATATATATATAGTGTGTAACCAAAGTCCTATCTCATACGAAAATTCAATTTGATTTTTTTTTATATTGAAATGTTAAAGTTGAATTCGTTTTACAATAATACTCATATCGATGAGTATTATTTGATGATTGGTTAGTTTATAATATTTTGAAAATGTTTCTCTGTGAGAATTGACTTTGGTTACTTCCTCGGTGTGTGTGTGTGTGTGTGTGTGTGTGTGTGTGTGTGTGTGTGTGTGTGTGTGTGTGTGTGTGTGTGTGTGTGTGTGTGTGTTTGAACGAAGAAATTAACACGTTATGAATAATATGAAAACGTCTAACCATGGAGGGAAAACAAAACACATCAACAAAAGTATAAATAATGCAAGACAATACAATACTTGAAATATATTGGCGGGCAAAATGAAGGAGAAATATGTAGTGTACAATGTCTTTATAATATTATTACATCACGAAGATAAGGAAAAGAGGAAGCTGAAGACGGCCTTATGACCACTACAAGTTCCTGAATCATTGTTCCTATCTTGACCAGACCACACACTAGAAGGTGAAGGGACGACGACGTTTCGGTCCGTCCTCGACCATTCTCAGGACGGGTCCAGGGACGAACCGAATGAGAATGGTCCAGGACGGACCGAAACGTCGTCGTCCCTTCACCTTCTAGTGTGTGTGGTCTGGTCAACATACTTTAGCCACGTTATTGTGACTCATCGCCTTCATTGTTCCTATGGGGATAGTTGTTTAATAATTATCTTGATAAGATCATGTTTTAATTTACGCATTAAAAAGGGATCTTGGCGTAGCAAAGTATTATGTATATATTATAGCAATATCAGCACAAAAAATTCACCCCCAAAACCAGTTTTATGCTTATCATATTTTTCTGGTGTTGAAAACCTTGTTTAGGCTTGAAACTAGTTCATTTACATGTGTTTAATTGTGAAATTACCTTTGGGAGCTTGTGTGTTAGAACCTGCCCTCGTATAATAACTGTGTCATTTACAAAAGACCCAGTTAGAGATGTCTATATGCTATGAAAGTCTAGCATACAAAAATGTTAAATTTCAAATATCACAGCTTAAATATTCTGTAGGAAGAAGTTCTATTTATTAATTTGTCCAACAATTCTCAACAAATAGATTGGAAGAGGCGTTCTTCAGTCACAAATTGTTAAAAAAAATTTAATAGAAGTATTACTGAATCTGCCTTAATACAAAGTACAGAGCCATACAACGTGAATATTAGCAATGGTTTGCACACACGTGGATCCATTTTTAATGGATCAATTAAAAAGTGATCTTATCAAGATAATAGACAACTATGCCCATAGGAACAGTGATTCAGGAACTTGTAGTGGTCATAAGGCCGTCTTCACCTTCCTCTTTTCCTTATCTTCATGATGTATTATTATAAAGACATTATCATCTCAGTAACACCTTTATTTTACCTCCATGTGTATTCTTTGATGTGTTGATAGACACAAACGTGCTAAACTAATTTCCTGTTTCATTTTCCCTTCGTGGTTATACACGTTTTGATATATATATATATATATATATATATATATATATATATATATATATATATATATATATATATATTATATATAGATAGATGTATAATGGGATAGAAGAGGTGAGCAGGATAGTTGCCAGTGAGGATGGTTTAAGACGCCAGAAGGTGGTGAGTGCCTCTGGTAAGGTTGGACCATCGCTGCTTGGCAACCATCCAGCTGAACAGCCCCATCATGCCTATATTGTGTCATTAACTATAATATATATATATGTATGTCCTTAACGAGGTTCTATCAGTCACAGGCTGCCTACTGTCCCCATTTATGCGAATCCCCATTCAGATTCAATTGATTTAATAAAGTCATGTAATGTACTTTGCATGGGATATTTCAAAATTGCTAGAATAGGAGAGAATACATTCAGGTTCCATCACTCTTTTGTCATTTAATAAATAATTATCAAAGATGATATATTACATTTACTGTAGTTGTTAACGAGTGCACCATAGTTGAAGTGTTGACCTGTCAAGGGTGGGAAGCTGTCAAGTTGCTAGTCTTAACTTTGTGTGTCAAATATTAAGTGGGAGGTATAAGAGGGATAATTGTATTGGTGTGAAGCACTTTAGACTAGTGTGGGGAATGTGAAGATGGGTTGGTGCGCTAGTAGCTGCAGCTGCCTGGGTCTTGTGATGGTATTTGGCTGTATCTCCCTACGACAGCGGTATGACAATAATAGCAGCGGACAGTTTTGGCCAAACTGTGGATCTGAGGATGCTACGCTCGTTCCGCGTCCTCAGGCCCCTGAAGTTGGTCTCACGGCTGCCAAGTAAGTGGCCCGGGGAACACTGCCTTCTGCTGCAGCCTCCCGGTCCTCTGCTCGCTAGGTAGTCTCGCTCCCCTCACGCTGCTGCAGCGCTGTGGTGGCGGCAACTGTGGCGGCCGTGGTGGTGGTGGTGGTGCAGCTGTCAGGGGGCGCCCACGGGGCCGGTCCCGCCTGCTCCAGCACCCGACCTCTCTCCACCTCACCTCACACTCCCACCTCCTCCTCTTCTCTTATTCTCTTCTCTTATCCTCCTCACTACTCATAATCTCTCTACACTGTGTGAGTCTTGCCAACTAACCACTATACAAGTGTAGAACTGATAGCCATTGTTTACATCCAGATATATGTGTTATCTTGAGACAATTAATGATATGGTTGTTTTCATGAGAGAGACTTGTTCCTATGTAGTGTATTAAATGACTTAGTTATTAATATACGTGAGCAAGTGTTAGAGATAGGCAAGAGAGACACCTCTGTATATCTCAATTGATAATCATGTACAGGTCTCACCGTCAGAGACTGTGGTGCCTAGCAACTGAACCACATTTCTCAGATAGTTTTAGTGGCATTTTTTAACACCTTAAACTGCATGGCTGTTGGCAAGAGTCCGAGTCTCTTTCTCTCTCTCTCTCTCTCTCTCTCTCTCTCTCTCTCTCTCTCTCTCTCTCTCTCTCTCTCTCTCTCTCTCTCTCTCTCTCTCTCTCTCTGTCTGTCTGTCTGTCTGTCTCTGTCTGTCTCTGTCTCTCTGTCTCTCTGTCTGTCTCTCTGTCTCTCTTTCTCTCTTTCTCTGTCTCTCTTTCTCTCTTTCTCTCTTTCTCTCTCTCTCTCTCTCTCTCTCTCTCTCTCTCTCTCTCTCTCTCTCTCTCTCTCTCTCTCTCTCTCTCTCTCTCTCTCTCTCTCTCTCTCTCTCTCTCTCTCTCTCTCTGTCTGTCTCTCTTTCTCTTTGTCTCTCTGTCTCTCTTTCTCTCTTTCTCTCTTTCTCTCTTTCTCTCTTTCTCTCTCTCTCTCTCTCTCTCTCTCTCTCTCTCTCTCTCTCTCTCTCTCTCTCTCTCTCTCTCTCTCTCTCTCTCTCTCTCTCTCTCTCTCTCTCTCTCTCTCTCTCTCTCTCTCTCTCTCTCTCCCTCTCTCTCTGTGGTGAGTGTATGGAGAGAGGTGCCCCAGTGTGTGGTGCCTCCATGGTCTGGTGGGTGCCCATATACCCATGATGGTATGGTCCTGTGCAGCTGGTGCTCTCGCTACCCCCGTCACTGCTGCTGCTACTGCTGCTGCTGCTGCTGCTGCTGCTGCTGCTACTACTGCTGCTGCTGCTGCTGCGGCCTCGTTCTAGTGGGTAGCTCACGGCCGCGGTGAATGATTCTTCTAGACATGGTAAATAGAATGGTAGTTGTAGAGCAGACAAATTTTAATGCTCTATGGGGGAATAGATTTATCCAATATTGCTGTTGGTTTTCAGTCAGTGTATTATTTCCTCTGTAGGGAGGAACAGTGGACGCATGGGATCATATACCTATAGACCCCTGATCGGAACATTAGTACTGGTTAGTAATAATTAGATTTGGGTTCCTGTATACAGACATAGATTCTATTGTGTGTCTGAATGACCTAGAGCTGGGCGCCATGAATGCAGCATCAACCTGTAGTAGAGTGATAATGAGAACTATAGGTATATAGATCACTTTAGTAGTTGGCCGACCAACTAGAAACTGGATTTTTACCTAAAATTTTCTTTACTATTCACCCGCTAAAGCAGCCTCGCTTATTTTACAAAGGTAGACTGTCTAGTGGAACAGCCAGTACCAGCAGCCGTGTTCTTATGGTCCTTGTGTGATGCCCTCGGGGTACTGCAGCCTGCCCCCCCGCCCCTACCCCCCTCCCCTGGGTGTGTCTTCGCCCCCTCTCTATCTCTTTCTCTCACTATGTTCCCCCAACGCCCCCCACTCGTCATAGGGAACTAGTATTTCTAGTATCTTCGTGGCCTGTCTCCACCACCTCCTCCTCCTCCCCCAAGGCTACCTTGTCTCCTGCTCCCTCAGGCCATAGTATTGTCCCGCCTCCCACAACTTTTCCTTTTTCTCTGGTTTTAAATAACGTTTAAAAATTTTTCCTAGATCTAGTGTGTTGTTGTTTCAAACAATAGTGATTATGACTAGTGAGTAGAGTGGAAACCTAGTGTTCATTAGTTGGTAGCTACGGTTTTTATCCTTGCTTTTCAGATTCATCACGTTATTTGCGCAGGAGGACATAGAAGTAGACTTAAGAACACTGAGAGCTATCCGGGTTCTAAGGCCTTTAAAACTAGTATCAGGCATACCGAGTAAGTAGCCAGTCTTAGCTAGACCTTAGTGCTGTCTTACGTCTATCATCTATGACATGTTATCCGTATCTTAATTGTTCGCTTCTCTTCCGTTGTGGTTCAGTTTGGTTTTGTGTTGCTGATGCACCCACAGCCTGCAAGTTCGAACCTCCTCCCCCTTCCCCTCGCATCCCCTCTCCCCACCACCACCACTACCCCCTCCCCCACGTCCCCTCTTCCAAGTAAATCCAGTTTACTCCCTCCCCTCTCTCCCTCCCTTTTTCCCTCCCCTCCCCCTTCCCTCTCATGTCTCTCCTCAGCCTCCCTTACTTAGGTTTTTTCTTTGTGTTTCGCTCCTGATTTGTTAGTGTCAAGCAGCTCTCTCTCGCTACACTTCATAATAGTTTATGATGCATAATGATTGCTGTATACCCTTTATTATTATCATCATTACCTTGCATAACCAATTTAGCTTTACAATTCTTAGAAAATTTGTTCACTGACCGCCCCCCCCCCTTTCCCAAACCCCCCACCCCCCCTACCAACAAAAAAACTGAGGAGTTTCCTTTCAGTGGATGAAATTTTTGTGCAAACAATCTATTGCTTTTTCCCTTTCCCAAGTTTTTCTCTTATGTCTTAGATTATAGACTTTTCTCAGAGTATGAGCTTTTTTGTGTTGGCCACTTTTGTGGTGTGATGGTGTTTGCGTCTTTTATACCCCCCTCCCCTCCCTCTCCCCCCCTCCCCTCGCTACCTCCTTGGTCTGGGTTGAATTTTTCATTCATGCAAAATTTCGCATGAGGGAGATGTAGTGGCGTGCGCGCGCGCTTGCCTTCCTCCCTTTCCCGCCAAAATGACTCCTCACACACTACTCTACCTTATGCACTCACACTTTACTAACTCCCATTCTGATTATTTTGACCATTCTCTCTCACTGGACTCATGCGTCTCATCCTATCTCACTCGGTTCGTGAATCTCATCCTTTCTCACTCGGTTCGTGAATCGCATACTTTCTCATCGGAGTTGTGTGTGTTCCATTGTTTCCCACGGAGTTTGATGCCTCATATTTACTCACTCGAGTCATGTGTCTCATACTGTATCTACTGAGTCATTTGGTAAATATATATTTCACATCTTTCTTTCTCAGTGTCGCCTGTAATTGGTGTGTGAAGGTAATTTGAGACCTTCTCTCTCTCACTCTCTCTCATCTTTATTCTCTCAGTTTTGTAACGGCGTCTCCTGGCATCTTTCTTGTTATTTAATTTTTTGTATTTTTTTGTGTTTTGTCAGTCTTAATTTTTGGGCGATATTATCGTTCTAATTTTTTTATTTTCTTCCAATATGTATTTTTTTCGAGTAGTTATTTTCGGAATATCATTGAGTCTACGACTCTGGTGTCGTAAGTCTGTATTCACGTGTACACATCTGGCTCTCAGGTGTCGTAAGTCTGTATTCACGTGTACACATCTGGCTCTCAGGTGTCGTAAATCTGTAATCACGTGTACACACACACCCCAGGAAGCAGCAGCCCGTAGCAGCTGTCTAACTCCCAGGTATCTATTTACTGCTAGGTAACAGGGGCATCAAGATGAAAGAGACTTTTTGCTCATTTGTCTCCGCCTTCACTGGGGATCGAACCCGGAACATCAGGACTACGAATCCGAAGCACTGTCCACTCAGCTGTCAGGCGCCCTGGTGCCTAGACGGGTAGAAAATTCCACAATCTTACCTTGTCTCTTTTCTATGACAGTTTAGAGTGGCTTTAATACCATGCGGTTCGTTTTGATTTTGTTTATGGGCCGCCATAGATCACTTTGTGTATATATCTGTTTTAGTGGTCAGGTTGTCACTACTTTTACAACCTGATCTCCCTAACTACAACAGTAGTTTGTAACCAAACTACTGTTGTGTTGTCCAGTTTGTGCAACACGTTTTTTGAACGTGTTTTTTCCGTCACTCAGTTGGTCAGTGTTATTGACGTCAAGTTATTCAGTATATGCAGACGAGGAGTCACAATAACCTGGGTGAAGTATGTTGACCAGATTACACACTAGAAAGTGAAGGGACGACGACGTTTCGGTCCGTCCTGGATCATTCTCAAGTCGATATTCAGTATATGTTTGGATAAGGCAGTGTTGTCACCTCTACTCTTGGCTCTCGGTCTGTGTTCCCGCTGTCTCATCTTGCTACCTTTCTGTGTCACGATGTTGTTGTGTTGCGTCTTCTGACACCATTGTGTCATGGTGTTGACGCTCTCGGCCACAGATGTTGCCAGCTGATGATGTTCCAATTCGTCCTCTTGCAAAGAACGTCGCTATTCGCACGTATGCGCACTAAAGCTAAAAATTATCGTACTAGAAAATGGAAGATGAAGATGAAGATTTAAGCCACCCAAAAGGTGGCACGGGCATGAATAGCCCGTAAGTGGTGGCCCTTTTGAGCCATTACCAGTATCAAGAGCTGATACTGGAGATCTGTGGAGGTGCGACTGCACCTTGCGTGACGGGAGATGTCTCCCGTGAAAAATGAAAGCGGCCGACGAAAGTGATATTTTGTCCCGTTTTCTGTTTTAGGTCCTCTGGCTTAGTCTGTTAGGTTAGGAGCGGAGACTTTAACAGTTTTCATAACGTTTTGAAACATTGGGAGAACTTGCTGTTCTCCTAACCTCCCACACGACCCAAATCTTGCCGCTTTCGGTCCATTTCATTG